CATTTGATTTGTTTTTTTTTAATTTATTTAATTTATTTTATTTATTTATTTTTTGGTATTTAATTTGTTTCGAATTTCGTTATTTTTTTCGTTTTTATTTGTTTTTATATTTTTTTGCAATTTAAACCATTAGTCCAAATATGCGCGAAACCAGTAATCGAAGCATGAAAATTTTGAAAGAAGCCAGAAAAAGAAAACGCAGTGAGTAAAGATGCAATGAAATTGTTGAAAATATGAAAACAGTAGCAACATAGTGCATAGTGACACAAAAATAAAGGAATCGTGTGAGTTTGTGTGTGATGAACAAAAATAAAAATTGAGGTTAGATCAAAATGCAAAGAAAAATTAAAACACTTAATCATAAAATAAAAACAATTATTTGAAAATTTTAACTTAAAGTTTAAAAAATAAACATATAATTTCGTGATTTCATCAGGAAACACAAAATAAAATAAATAGTTAAATTTTTTTTTAATCAAAATAAAATTATTATTTTAATAAAAGTAAAACAAAAATAAGTAGAAAAAAATTTCTTTAAGGTTAGGTAATCAACCATCCTCACGTTCTCGGGACATACAGTTTTTCATTAATGCAGCGCATCTCACAATCGATCCTTACTGGAGTCTGAGATGAACAAACTTCTGCGAAAACATAGTTTATTGATGTGCATTTGCCGAGTATGTGATCCGAAACCGGCTACTCAGACAGCAACTTACAATTTTGGGGGAGCACCACCTACTTAGGACTATAAACTCTCTCTCCATGGATCAAGTCCCACATGGTATCATACCCAATGCAAATACCGAACTCTGCGGGCCTGTTGAGCTGCTGGTTGCCCTTACCTGCTTAGGAAGGGGCCATACTCTAAACTTGAGAAAGTGGGTTGGCCAAAAAAATTACCTTCGCACCACCAACGCACATGTGTCCTATAGGCATTTTAGATCAAGGCACATGTGTCGCCTAGGGATTTCAGATCAATCAATCGCTCTTCGTATCTCTGAAATACGCTTGAGCTACTCTTTGCTATGTACATAAGAAGCAGGATTCCCGAAGGACGCTCTTAAATCAACATGCCTTCTTTAAGAGCAGATATTTACACAAAGTCGTAGGATAGCATTGAGCAGTCCTTCTCGCACATAACTACGCTGTTGGTGGCTTTCCTGAACTGAAGTGTTGCGGTAAAGTGGAGCAAAGCTGCCGTTCAGAGAAAAGTATGTAAAGAGCTATGCAAGAAGTCGGAGTTCTCTCCCAATCCCAATTTTTTAAACTCCTTAAATGGCCGACTTTCCGCTAACGGCCTCTGTAGAATAGTAAGTGTATGTGCTTTCTGCGAAGAAATCTCCATTAATTTTAGGCTACCGGATGACTTTAGTGTTTTTAAAGTAAAAGTATCTTTGATACGCGGTTCTGTACTTTAAACGATGATATATGCATACAAGGAGTGCCAGCTTCTTACGAAAATGTTCTAGTTTTTTTTAAGGGTCCTGAAGATTTTTTCGTTTTCGTTGTAGTCGTTGTTTTCGTATACATGTGTAAGTATTCGTCTTTATAGTAGTCTTTGCATCTACCTTCTTGTTTGTTTTAGTCGCTATCTTCGTATTAGTCTTCGAAATTTACCTGTATTTGTCTTCGTATTAGTATTCGTATTCGTCGTTTAATTCTTCTTTGTATTCATCTTCGACTTAGTCTTAGAATTCGTCTCCGCATTCGTTTTCGTTGTTAGTATTCGCATTGACATTCGTATTCATTTAAGTCGGTGTCTTCGCATTCGCCTTCGTATTAGTATTCGTATTCGTTGACGTGTTCTTCACGTATTTATCTTTGTGGTCTTCGTATTTAACTCCGTATTCGTATTCGCATTCATCTTCGTATTCCTTTCAGTGCTGCCCTTATATTTGTTTCCGCAGTAAGCTTCATATTCGTCTTCTTCTTCACATTCCTCTTCGTATTCTAATTCATCTTGATATGCGTCTTCGCATTCATCTTCGTCGTCGTATTCGAATTCGTCTCAAACTTAGGCCTCGTCATCGTGTTCGCCTTCATATTCGTATTTGTGTTTATATACACCTTCGCATTTGCTTTGGTTTTGATCTTCTTATTCGTGTTTGTATTCGTATATTCCTCGTATTCGCCTTCCTAGTAGTCTTCGCATTCATGTCGTATCGTGTTCGTATCGTGTTGATATTTGTATCCAAATTCCTCCTCGTATTCACTTTCGTGTTTGTCTTCATATTCCACTTCTTACTCGCCTTCGTATCGCGTTCGTGTTCGTCTTAGTCATCGTATTGGTCTTTGATTTCGCTTGCAACAAGTACTCGCAAAATACAGAATATTTGACACATCGACTGCAGCGGTAATTTACAATCAATTTTGAAACCATAAAAACTCTCGCCATCTACAGAAAAATACTCTTCCAATGGTGGCTTTTCGCTATCAAGTTTATTTAGCTTTTAGTTTCCAGCGATTTTCCAAGTAACTGTTTGGATGATGAGCTAACAAGACAGGGCACTTTTAAGGATTTGCCGCCGAGTAAGGAAATGGTAGGGGCTCCATTAGCTTCTGCTTCTGCACAGATGGGCTTTTTGTCAGCTCAGCGAAGGCTGGGCGAAAACCTTAGAATTGCAAGGTGTCGAGGTTCTTCTGGACGCGACCGTCTAGGAGAGCTCTTAAAACTGAACATGTCCCATATCCTATTAATGCTGGTACTTTATACCACTTATAGGCTTAACATCACCTCAAGTATCTACGACAGAAGCTGTATGACAAATGAGAAGGTTGACCGATCTCAACGTCTGCTACTCGGATGTTCAGTTTTTGATAGCTTACGGTTTTTTGTTGTGGGAACGGAGTGTTTGGCTAAATAAAACTCTTATAGCGTCATCGGTCAATCAAAAATTTAAATCATATTCCGAAATATTTACAGAATTAGGGTACGCGCGCAAAAAAAAACATTAAACTACTAAGTTAAAAACTGTTAACTTTACAGCCATGACGCTGTTTAAATATTTGATCAACAGTGATCACAAAAGTTAATGCAGAGCTTCCAAGCTTCTAAACATGGAAAAAGCTTTTAAACAAGCTTAGAGAAACTTTAGATCGGAGCTTGCAATTAAGCTCAATCTTCATTCAAATTAAGTATAAAGCAAACAAAAGCACAAATTCAAAATAAAAAATTACAACTTTTAACGGTCAAAAGTCCAAAACTATCTTAATAATAATTTGCCGTTAGTCACATAGCGAACTCACACTAAGTATACATACATATGCACTTTAGGCATTTGCCACACACATGCACACTTACCCCTTTGCCCAGCCCCAAAGGCTGTATCGACAAATAGCCCGCCGGCAGCGTAGCCGCCACCGCAATGACCTGCTCCTCCAAATTGATGCGACCCTTCTGCAACAACGGCAGCCAAGCATATCCTATAGGCGTTTCGAAGGCGGCATTAGCATCACGTTTCTTGCCCAAATTACACGATACATGATAGAAGGAGAAGAGCAAATGGTGCTCGGAGAAGAGACCCAAAGGCAAACGCATTTTAACTTCCTCATACCATGCAGGTGTGGTGTTGTGATGCAGCACAGGGCAAGCGATTTGCGAGACTAGGAAATCATGACCAGGGCGACCGTAAATGCACTGCAAGGAAAATTAAAACAAACAAACATACATACAAATATGTATAAAGCACTTGAAATTGTATGTATTATTGTTGCACTCACCTTCAACGGTTTGCTACCCTCTTCATCTGAGTCGCGCAACTCCACGACAGCGGTTATGTTGCGTGCGCGCGAAAATAATTTCTGACTATCGAATTGCAAATACTGCGGATAGACAAATAAATGATTGCAGAATGTTATGTATGGGTATGTGTCGCGCGTGCTATTGCTTTGGAATTCGGTCAATTCGAGCGTGGGCGGTTTGGGTGGAAATGTGAAGTTAGCTAGCGGCACTAAAGACTTAGTAAAGGAACCTGTATGCATGGAAGGAATGGAAATGAGAGCTCAACAAATGTTTTTTTTTTTTCAAACAAATTTGTATGAATTACATACACTTTCGATGTATGTACGCCTACATACCTGGCACCTTCTCCACCTCCTCGACAGTTAGCCTCATATAACCCGGTATGATCGTTAATTTGCTCAGCTTATCTGGCTTTCGATATTCCGCCAATAGTTTCAGCAGCTCTTCATCCTTCAGCTTATTCGCTTCCTGTCTATAGATGGTCGTCAGTTCGAACGTATCGTTCTCCGTATCCAATTCATTTCTGTACAGCCGAAAGAGTGGCTTAGCCGCCCAAGCGAACGGCTGACGATAGTGCCCAATATTTTGCGCATAGTTGCGCGCTGTTTTGTGCAATTTTAAAGCAATCTTTGGATCGCGTCCAGTCTTCAAATACGGCTCAGCCGCTTGCACTATGCTACCTTGCAAAATCTTCTCCACCTTCAACACTAAGTAAATGTCCGGATGTGGCGCTGTCACTGAGAATATAGCCTGGCGTAAGTGCGCAAAATGTTCCTTGGTGCAGCGCAACAAATCCCCCGATAGATTCTCCAGCAGCGAATTTTGCACGCGCACGCTACCACCACCAACAGCGGCAGCAGCACCACCACCACCACCAGCGTGGGCGCGCGTTCGATCCTCCTTCTCATCGGCGCGACGCAATGGCACACAACAAGCGGCAACAGAGTTGGGCACCGGCGTTGTTGGCAACATATCGCTTACATTATCATCGTTGACATTGAAATAGAAGGACTCGGTTAGCTTGCGGCCGGCGCGCGCATCATACAACGCTAAGCTGGTGATGTATGGCTCTACTTGACACAAATTCTCGCCATCGAAGCCGTCGACACCAGCGCATTGTAGGCGAAAACGCAAGCCCTTGCAGGCTATAAAAATGCGCTTGCCGAATTGCTCGCGAAATTGGTCGACAGTGTCGGTGGCGGTTGCTTTGCCATTCGATTGATAGCAAGCGAAAAGTCGCCGCCGATGCTCGCGACGAGCCTGCGCAATGGAAATGTCCGTTTCGCGTCCATACTTAATCAATTGAGGATTCATAGATTGATCGAGTCCCTTCAGCGTGCCGAAGATAACAGTGCTGGTGGTAGGTGGTGGCGCGCGCTCAAGCGAGGCGACGCGTTTGTCCTCCTGGATCTTGTTCTGTTGCAGAACGAGCGATAATTTGCTCAGCCAGTCTTTGAACTCCTCCTCATTTTCGGCGGCGAGCGTGAAGGACTTATGGCCGGCAGTCATGCGGAGTTCAAAGCAAAAGCGGCCGCGTTTGGGGTTCTGTGGTGGAGAAAAAGTTTATGGTGAAGAGGTTATATGGATGAAAAAAAAACACACACAACACATTTACCTGCACAACTTCGGTGCAGAAATCCATGACTATAGTGGCTTTAGCCTCGCCTTGTTTCTCATCTTTGTGCAGTTCGAGAATGTAGGTGCCATCGACCTCTTGACGCAGATAGCAGTACCTGCAGGAGTATTTGCTTATTACATAGGCGTAGAAGTTTGTAAAATGGAAACCCACCTCCTCTTGAACGACTTGTTGCCTATATTCACAAACATACGATCCGAACCTGAGTCGGGACCCTTTAGTAAGTAGCCCTGTTTCGTTATCGTATCGGCTTGAGATCGTGTCATTTGTTCGTCAATGCGATCCTGATCGGCATCAATTTCGTACACCTCCTCAATCAGCGCTTCGGGTGGATTTATTCTGCAAAGGAAAAATACTATAAAATCTAAAACCATTGCACAGCGCGTACATCCGCACAGATCTGGGGTCGCTTAAATCTAATACGAAGTCAAGAGTTCAGTAGTTGGATCATGTTTTCCTAACCTCCAAAATCCTATGTATCTGCAGTTATTATTCAAAAGTTTCCTCGTTTTTACCTCCTAACCTCAAAAAATTGTTTTTTTAGGTTTTATAATAATCGGTTTTTTGAGGTTAGAAAAAAAAATGTTCCCACTTGCGAGTTCAAACCTTCGATTCGGATTCAACGATTTAAAATGTGGGGTAAATGGCTAATCTCATTTGTCGGACGAAACCAAATTTTTATCAAGTATATACCTGGGCAAATCATGACATGTCCCACCATAGGCGCTATATTTGTAATGTATAAGATGATTCTTGGCGCGATATGTATACAACGCTTGACGTGTAAAGCGTGTACATTCGGCGCGTGTGCCGCCAGCACCACCACCGCTTCCAGTACTACTCGTGCCACCATCTGAGCCATCCAAATCCTCATCCTCTTCTGGTTGTGCGAGTATGCTGGACTTTAGTGTCGACGATGAAGACGAATGCGAAGTGGAAGTTATATGACCGCCAACCATTGAACCCATTGTGGAAATCGCCGATTCGTATGAGTCATGCGAGGAAGTTGGTGACTTAATGGACAGCTGTATTTTGGTACACGAGCTTTGTGAGCTTTTTCGCGAGAGATTACCATTACCATTTTGTAGACTTGTATTCGATTGACTGCTCATTTGGCGCTGTGCAAATTTTGGACTATTCGTATGACTGCTCTGTCGGGAAATTGAAGTGCTACTCGAGCCGTTACTGGTGCCATTTGTACCAGCGTGCAACGGACAGATGATAGCCTCGTTGGGCGGTTCGAAACGATCGATGATTGATTTGGTATTTGTGCGCTGTTTGCGAGGCATAACGATTTCCTGAAAAGAGAGAAATACGAAAAAATTTGCTAAGGATAATTTAGATAAGGTTAAGTGAGGTTAAGTTTAGTAAAAAAATGTTATCTTAGGAAATAATCTTCTTAATAAAACTCAGCACAATCCTGATTTCAGTGTCAGCATCACAACATGGTTCGGAGAGTAATGGAGAATTGTGAGCTAGAAAATTCGTATTTTTGTTTATAAGGAAGAGAAAAGAGATCTCAACGTACGTTACTCTAAGCTAAATTCTGTGTCTTTTTATAGTAATAACTTATCTAGAGGCAATTCTGTATACGAAAGTGGAGATTATGTGGAGATGAGAGTAAGCTGAGAACATTTGAAATGACCCGGCTTCTGAAACATGTTTTTGTACTGTGCGCATACTAGGTACTGATCGGCCCGATAATCGCGACAACAGTTGTTGTCTGAAGTTGCAAAACCATGTATGGCTCTAAGAATGGCCAGACTACTAAGGAGCACAGTTATGTCTAAGCACAACGTAAGGGCTTTCAACAAAAGCTCTACGTACCCTACAAAGCTCTGGTAATAGGACGAATCAAAGCTTGAACTGAATGAGCCTACTGCCATACTACGAACACGACGGTTTGGGAACGTTGACCTAATTACAATTAGGTTATACTTGATTTGGCAGATACAGCACCCAATCTCTCACCTGCTAAGGGGGTTTTAGATTACCACACATTTTCAAATGACTTTAGAACTGGGAGCAAGAAACCGCTATGAAGAGATGGTTGACTACGTTCTCACGACTGTCAGATCTACGTAACCGAAAGGACTGTCAATTTAGCAACATTCCTTAAACTTTATTTCACTCAAAGTGACGAGTCGCCGCTGTTCAAGGGGGAAAAAAGGATAGTGCGAAGGGCTTAAGATGCTGACGGCCAGCAAAAAACCACATGGAATGCAAATAGATATTTATGATAGTAGCTACACGATTAATAGAGTATTATAATCTTTTTTTTACCGATATAAACATTGGAAGGTAGATTTAAATAGATATCCCTGAATATATCGACACAGCTAAATAAAAGTATCGGTAAAATTGAATACATATATCGACAAAAATCCATAAAAACATCGATAAAATTCAAAAAAATATAGATATCGATAAAAATCCATAAATTTATCGATAACAAATAAATAAATATATCGATAAAAATCAATAAATACACCAATAAAAATTAATAAATAAACCAACAAATATATCGGTAAAAATCAATAAATATATCAACAAAAACCAATAAATATATCGATAAAGTCGATAACTATATCGATAGAATCAACAAACATATCGACATTTATTTATATGACACATTTATCGATAAAACTATAACCGATTTGTAGCCATAGCGAATGATCTGTATATCGACGACGATTTCGATATAACCTTTTCAAACCATCTATTTTCATACAAAAATTACTGCATTTATATAGTAAATTAGTTCCATTACTTACCGAGACATCATCATTTGGATAGATGAGCAGTTCCCTTTGTGGATCATTTTGTATAAGCATTTTATTCTTGGCCACAAAACCCTCAAAGTCGATCGGCTCCACCACATGTGGTTTGCTCTAAAAATAAAAAAAAAGAGAAAAGATATCATAACTAAGCTGTTTCTTGACTTAAAAGCTCATTACATCGAAGTGTTAGCTGGCATCATGCCTCACACGAATTTACAAGCTCTCACGAATAGCGTGTAAAATAAGCGAATAATAAAAGAGATAAAGGTCACAGGATATACATACGTACGGCTGCAACACACCCAAATTATTGATTTGGTATAAAAAAAAACAGGTAAGGTGCCCTTTAAATGAGAGCATTAAAAAAGACAGCAAAACCTAATTGGTTTGCATTCAAATGACAAGCAGAGAAGAGGAAGGGGAAGAGGAAGAGGAGCAGAAGCAGAACACAAAAAAGTCATAGCGTTAAGGATTGCTGTGCTGAAGGACACATTTACGTGCGTACTTAAATGGGGTTTCAATTATGTGCAGCTTTCTGTCTATAAGTAAAACGAAATGCTGAGGATTTCGCATTATCATGAAAAATAAAAGCAAAGGTCAACAAAAATAGGGTGCGTAGGTGTGAAGGAAATGACATTGGACTTAATTTGATGGGATGTGACATACATACTAAGGCTAAATGATAATGAGGCAGCGTAAAACTGATGAGGCAAGGGCAATGTATGGAATTTATGGTATGCATATTTTAAATGGAATATTTTTGAAGTGAACTTTCACAGCGCTCGATCGGCTGCAAATCTAAACGCCGATAAAAGCGACATAAGAACAGAGGGCATGGCGGGTGTGGTAGAGCACGATTAAGGTTGAGAACAAGATCAGGATTAAGATTAAGACTAGTATTAACACTAAGATTAAGATTAACACTAATATTAAGATTGAGATGGTTATTGAGATTAAGATTAAAAATAATATCAAGGTAAAAATAGTAGCAAGGTAACGATTAAAATGAAGATTAAGAATAAGATTAAGGTTAAAATTTAGATTAAAATTGTAATTGGGATTGCGATTAAAATGAGGACTAAGACTAAGACTAAGGTTAAGATTAAGATTGATATTAAAATTAAACTTAAAAAGACTAAACTACGGTTCAGATTAGGATTATAATTAAGATAAAGATTAAGATTAAGATTAATTTTAAGGCTAAAAAAGCAATGAGATTCGGATTAAGATTAAGATTAGATTAAAGTAAAACTTAATATTAAAATTAAGATTAAGACGAAGATTATGATTAAGAATCAAGCCTCAAGATTGAGAGTAAGATTGAGATTAAGATTAATATTAAGATTATTATTAAGATTGAGATTAGCATGAAAACTAAGACTTAGACTAGGGTTAAGATTAAGATTGAGAGTAAAATTAACACTAAGATTAGGTTGAGATTAAGATTTAGATTACGATTAGAGTTAAGATTAACAATGAGGTTATGATTAAGGTTCAAGGCTAAAGATTGAGACTAAGATTAGCTTTAAGACTAATATTAAGATTAAGACTAAAATTAAGTTTAAGACTAAAATTGAGATTAGGGTTATGATTAGGATTAAGATAAAGATTAACATTAAAATTAAGTTTGATTGGATGTTAAAATTAAGATTGAGATTGAGGCTGAGATTAAAATTTAGAATATTATTAAGATTGAGATAAAGATTAAAACTAATTTTGAGATTAAATTTACGATTGAAATTGAGAAGAAGATTAACATTAAGTTTGGGATTACAATTAAGATTAAGATTAATATAATTGTTCCGTATTAAACAGAAATATACGTTCATAGGTATAATAGTTAGAAGCCATGCGGGTAATAAGAAGGGAAATTTTCAATTAAGTCGCACGTTTTTTTTTTGAATGCTCTCATACATACTTATTTGTATAGATATGCCACAACTTACTGTATGTTTATTGTGTGCGTTTCGTCATATATGTACTAAATACAATACGCATATTTTTGGCAATAAATTAAAGCGCCTAACTGCCGAATATTTCAAAACCAGCATGCGAGCGCATGCCAGTGAAATTAAAGAAAAAAAATTATCAATAAAATTTTTTCGAACTGCCACTATTGCACGCTCACGCATTTCAACTCAATTGGGGACGCACAAACAATTCAGAAACTAAAATATACACACTCAAAAAAACACGCGCTAGTCAAAATATACAACTTGATTTTTATGCTCCCAAAAACTCGGCGAAAAAGTATTGTATTTTATATATAGCAGCATGGAAGTGAAAGACAAGAGGCCAGCGATGATAGACGAGATGGGATAGCCAAACAAAAACACACGCCCGGCAATGCTTTTAGATATTAGAAACACGTTGGCTGCTAGTTGGCTGACTGACTAGCGCGTTGACTGCTGCTGGCTGCTGGCTGCTGTTGCCACTAAAAATCTTTTGGGAATTTCGGTCAAGGTTATTTACAGACAACGAACTATTAAACTTTTATTGTTATTATGATTGTTGTTCTTGCTGCTATTCACATTATTATTACTAACACTAAACACTAAGTTCTTAAGTACTAAAGTAAGCATTGATATTTATATGCAATGTGTGTGCCCTTAAAATCTACAGTTGAATTCTGTTGAGTTCCCTAAGCGGTATAAAGCAGAAAGAAAAAATATTGCAGCAGTGAAAAAAAAAAATCGGATATTGCCACTTTAAAGGCCACTATAAATAACTATCAAAAAATGGAAAACTAGCTGAGATTTTATAATTACGCTGCTGACACTTTTAGACAGCCCAAAGTTCTAAATGCATTGCGTTTTTGAGGAAATTTTTATACCAGAAGCACTTTATATAAGTAGATATGTATTTTTAGTATTTTTCAATCATTTAGCGCGCCATCTCCAAAATATATATGTATAGGAGCATTCCTACATTTATATTACACATACATACATACATACATACTCGTATATCTCAGCACTTTAAGGTAAATCAGCCATGAAATTTGTAGCCATAAATTTTATGCTTTGCCGGGATTTTAATACCAAGTGGCTTTTATTGAAAACATATTCATTACTAAGTGGGCTATAAAAATGAAGAGATATTTGTGTTGGCAGCCGTTTTCAGTGGAAATTCTGTAGTATGTTGCTTCTATGTATGTAGCATTCTTTGTTGAACCAAAAATTAATTTGTTTGATTTCAACATTTTAATTACAATTTTTGAATGAAGGGTATTTTTTCGTGTACGATTTGGCATTTTTAAATTATATTTACAGATAAAGATGCTAAAATCATTTTATGTTTCATTATCTTCCTTAACTATGCTGGTCTTGTCGTAGCGAGAGGCTTAAATGTCTACTATTATATGTATTTTTCTGCAATATTTCTAAACGTTCTAATCCCAAAAATTTTTGTATTGGCGCAGGCGGCAATGCCACGGTTACTACAGCAATACTACCCAAGTCAAGGTGTTGACGTACCCATGCCGATGGCTAAATGGTAAGCGGGTTGTAAACAGTTTCTAACGATCCAATGCCCGAGCAAGGTCTGTTTTAAGAAGTGACGCGTCTCGGATTTGCGAACGAGCAACTATTCCCTTGCGGATAATGTTTGGGTCCAACTATGGACAACAACAACGTACCACGTACCGGTGAACTGCAAAGGGATGACGGGGAACAGAAGGTAAAGCAGTCCCAAGGACACATAATGCCAGTGGCGAAGTTTTCCAAAAGTTTCCCTACTCAAATTTATTGCAAGAATTGCTGTTTTTTCTTTATTTTCTTTTGATTTTATCTATAAAAAAGGTTTTATTTAGAAAAAAAATTTCATATCATTCTTCTTCCACTACATATATACACTCACCACCTTGGCCGCAACGCAAGCAATTCGTCTTCGGCTTCGTCTTTACTCTGTCTGCAACCTAACTCATCGGAAAGTTGGTTAAAAATTTATTGCAAGATTTTATCCAAACAGACAGACATACAAAGAAAATTAAATAAAAGCTTGTAACTTATAAAAATCGTTACCGTTTTTTCATCGCAGCTAGTATAAAATTGATTATAGATTATAGATATTTCGGTAAAGTAGTAAGATTTAAGTGAGCTGGATCGATTGAAAAATTCATTCAAAAACCGAGAATTTTTTATTAATAAAACTTGCTTTTAAAAATATTTTTGTTTTACAAAAAATCACCTCAGATGATAGAAGAGTTTAAGCTGAGATGACTTTTCGATACAACAATTTTTTTTAACTAATTTTATTTCAAATCGATCTAACTTATGTAAATCGTAATAACTTTCGGAAAAAATTTTGGCGAATGTCTTGAAATTGTAATAATTTTCCGAAAAAATTTTGGCGAATGTCTTGAAATATAATAAATTATAAAATTCCGTTGAAAAAGCGGCAACTTTTTTTTTTTGGTGAGGCACACTAATGTCCATATACAATAACAGGCCGCTTTAATAAACCGTCATTAATAGCCAACTTCACCACAGCAGTGCAATCGATGGCTATATGTAAAACTATCATCAACGTCATTATCAGGCATGTCAACGACCATTTGAAACTGAAAATGACCAAATGATTATGCAGTCGAGCAAAGTAATTAAATATATTGTCAGCGATCAATATGAATATGGTATGGACACTAATTTAACCCATTAACAACCAAAAGCTATTAAGTGCTGTCACTCAACGGCGACTCATCAACTGAGCGCTCCATTAAAAAGTGTATGTAGTCAGCAGACAGACGTCTCTCCCATAAATGCATCTCAATTTGGCGCAATAACTCATATTTTTTTTATCGATATCATTCAACACACATTCATGCAACCAGCCAAAGGCCGGGTTTGGTTTGGCATTTATAATTGTCGTTGGTGAAAATTGCTAGTAATTTTGATGCAAAACGTGCGCCTGAAGTACACGAATTGCTTACTTGCCCACATAAAAAATTTACATACAAACTGGGTTGATATGAAAGTACGAGTACGAGTATTTTAGCCAAGCTTCAACGCTTCAAGCCACCTAACCACCGCCGCCGCCAGTCTTTTGGTTAGACATTTATTAAATATGTGCGGCACGCGTTAGCTCGAAATGCCTTGCTAAGTCATGGTCTA